CTCCTAAGGTAGTGGGCGTTATGCTACACAAATTACTATTATTATAATTAGTAGTAGTAGTAGTATCAGTAGAAGTATTCAATTACTTTTCTTTCATCTGAACATTTTTGTAAAATACTGAGATTATTTGACTCAGTTTTCTAGATATATTCTTCTGAGAGGTTTAGATGAAAAATGACTCCTGTGATGGAAACATGACATGAGGCTCCGAGCAGAAACTGCTGTTTTTAGCAATGCCAGTGGTACTGCACCAGAGATAGCAATGTCTGTCTGACTGTCAGTCTGTCCAAACAGAAATATCTTGATAACTGTTTGATGGATTGGCATGAAATTTTGTCCCCAGACAAAGATGGGAAGTAGCTGAGTACATTTACTCAAGTACAAGTCTCTTACAATGTTAGGGCACATGTACTTTACTCCACTACATGTATTTGACACTTGAAGTCACAGATTAAGATTTTGCATTGTCTACAAAAACATATGATGCAGTTGTTCAGTGCACAAAGTCAACTCATCAAATAATTTTAGTCCTCAAGTCCTATAGTCTTATTTTAGTCTATAATAATACAGAATTTATTTGTTAATTATAGTTTGTATTATTAATCAGAATCTCCAAAGCAACTAGTAGCTAAAGTTATAGAATAAAAGTAAAGTAAAAGTACAACATCTCCCTCTGAAATGTGGTAAAACACAGCAGCAGAAAATGGAACGTACAAGTACCTCAAAATTGTAACTGAAGGAACAGTTCAACCCAAAATCAAAAATACTTATTTTCGCCTATTACCTGTAGTGCTATTTATCAGTCTAGGCTGTTTTGGTGTGAGTTGTTGAGTGTTGGAGATATTGGTCACAGACATGTCCGTCTTCTCTCAATTATAATGAAACTAAATGGCATTCGGCTTGTGGTGCTTGCCAAAAAAAAAAAAAACATTTAAAAAATAAACAGCAATGTCTTTTTCCAGAATCAAGACCCAGTTACTCAACATGATCCACAGACCTTGTTGTGGGCAGTTTTATAAAGGAACTGTTTTGTTTTTTTCCTACCAAGCTGCACATGCCAACTGTATCACCGTGCAGGAGGAAGTGTGCATCTACTGCTAGCACTACTGAGCTAGCTAATGTTACAGCTCAGCCGATGAGGACGCCATTAATGTTTACACCTCATGTTGTTACAAGCCTCTTGTCAGAGAGTAGATGCACACTTCCTTGTGTGTGGTGATTTGGTTGGTGCATGTAGTTTGATAGAAAGAAGATAGTTCCTACATGAAACTGCCCACAAGGTCTGTGAATTATGATGAGTAACCAGGTTATGGTTACTGGAGAGAGACATTGCTGTTGAGCTTATTAAAACTTTTGAGATTTATAAGTCCTAAATGGAGGGCAGGCTGGCTCTAATGATTTGTTTCTGCAATCCTGACTGTCCATTGTAGTCTGCTGCTGTACTTTTTGGTGGCAGATCCAAACCAAACCAAACAGTGATGTACGTGCAGAGAATAGACTGGATGATTGCAGTGTACAGCAGAACTGGATCAGCAGCTCCTGAGTCAGTCTGAACTTTCAGAGCGAGTGCAGGTGTACATCCTCTGCTGGGCCTTTTTTTCTGATGGTGTTGATGTTGGAAATCCAGGTCCTGAGAGATGGAGGATCACAGAAACATAAGGGATTCCACAGCAGACACGTTGTTGTTCAGTATGGTGATGGGTGGCAGTGTTGGGGGGCTCCCTCTGAAGTCCACAGCTCTCAGCGTGTTTGGCTCCAGATTGTTCTGACAGCACCAGAGAGCCAGCTGTTCCACCTCCCGCCTGTATGCAGACTCATCACCATCCTGGATGAGGCAGATGACTGTTGTTGTGTCGTCTACAAATTTCAGGAGTTTAACAGACGAGTTTCCTGTGGTGCAGTCGCACATGTAGAAGGAGAAGAGCAGCGGGGAGAGCACACATCCCTGGGGGGTGCCAGTGCTGATGGTCCAAGTGCTGGGTGAGATGCTCCCCAGCCTCACCTGCTAGCTCTGGTCTGTCAGGAAGTTTGTGATTCACAGGCAGGTGGGGGCTGTTTGGAGCGGAGGATCTTGGTTTTGAGATGTGGTAAAGTGAAGAGGACTGAAGTTCCCTCTGCGGCCGTTTCCACAAACATTCTGAGAATACTCTCCTAACTTAGGCTAAAAATGTCTAGCAGGGAGTCCTAACTTACAGGTGATTTAAAAAAATTCTCAGAGAGTAACTATGTGCCAGGAAGAAACAGAAACGTTTACCTTAGTGAGGCGGTGTGGCTGATCATGTTGCTATGTAACAGATGTGATTGGTTGTCCTTTGGTGAGCTTTAAGGTTTGGACACCCGGTGGAAATGACATGAACTGCATCACAATATGAGACTGAAAGTGTTGTTTGTGTGATAACTAAGAGAAAGGTTGTGACAGACTCAAGTCATCACTGCTGCCCTGTTGCATTTTTCCAGCTGCCAAATATCTTAGTGTTTTTATTTCTAGTGTTACATTGTTATTGCATTGGGTGGAAGATGTGAGCGCATCTCTATTGTGATCGACCACAAGCATTATCCCTGCACAATCTAATCTGTAGCCTTTCATTTACTCACTGTCATCCAGAGTTTGGGGAATATCTCTGCGACCTCTTTGTCTTTCCACCATTTTCTCCTCTGCTTAGGAAACTATTAAGCCTCTTAAAAGTCCTCCTCCCTGCTTATGACAGTTTTTAACCTCAGGAGCTGAGGCTTTGTGAATAACTCTTATCTCTACCAGGACCCAGTCTTAACGTTCAGGGGAAATTCTTAGAAGATTTTACCCACACCTTTAACTGCAACCTAGACACATCATCAGTATTGTAACCTAGAGTCATCGGGTGTTTAGGGTCCTTCAACATCATACATCCTCACCCAGGTGACCCACCCAGGGTTGATCAGACCCCAGCCTGTGTCTAGGTAGCTAGTGTGGTCCAGGTATGACCCCTTTAGATCCACAGCCATCTTGATGCCCTCAGTGATGTTCCTGATGGCTCTCTTGCTATGCAGTCCTCTGATCCCCAGCAACTTGGTCTGTAGAGCGACTGGCCGGCAAATCCTTGGCAGCTGACCTCGATGGGGTAGCATCAGGTCTTCCATCCATTGCTTCAGCATTCGCCTACAAGCTCCTCATACTGGGCCTTTTTTTCTGTCATAACTAGAATTTTGTCACAAGGAGCAACGTGATGTATGAGGACGCGTTTTGAATACGGCCCCTGAAATGTGACAGAGCAGAAGAATGAAGTAGCAGAAAATGGAAATACTCAAGTATAGTCACCTCAAAATTGCATTTAGGTGCAGTACCTGAGTAAAGACACCTCATTTCTTCCCACCCCTCAAGCTGCAGTAATGGAAAATAGTTTCTTCAACATGAATGCTACCACTGACAAATTCTTTTTGTCAACTATAACTGTGACATTTGGACATCGTTCAGTGCAGCATGATACTCTGTTATTTATAGCTACAGTGTATGATTGTATGATAACATGAAACTCTTTTGTAGATACTGCACCGTACCAAAAAAAAAAAAAACACGTTTCCTCTGTGGTCTGAGCTGCACTGCATTGTTTAGTGTATTTTTGTCCCTTCTCCCCAGTCTGTATAATGAGTGCACTGGATGATGTATGGCTGGTGTAATTAAGCCAATGAGTTTACAGCAGAGAGGTTGCATCCAACACCAACCAAGTCATAAATACAAGTAATGAAGTGAGACTGGGTTCACACTGTGGTAAAAAGAAAATGAAAGCTTTTTTTTGTTTTAATTTTTTTTATTTCACGCAACAAACACCATCAGCAGTTTTTACAGTCTGTTCTGGTGTAAAAGCAATAAGCAATATACTTCAGAAAAAAACAAAACAACAACAACAACTAGAGAAGGTTTCATCACACTGGCCATAGCTCAACGTTAAATAGCATTGGGCAGTATTTTTAAATTATTATTATTTCCCCATTTTATGCACAGTAGCAAAAACCTGCACCTGCCTGCATCAGACATTCACTGCAGGGAAATGTTGTCGCCACACTGCTCCAGTAACCTGCTCAGCTGTTCATATGATCATGTGTAACATCAAGACATTAAAATAACCTCCACTGAAAAATAAGAAAAAGAAAATATTCAGTGGTGGACGTAATGTTGAGATCATTTTCTGTAATAAAGTACCAATAAAATAAATAAATACAAATACTCATTACAAGTAAAAGTCCTGCATTCAAAAATGTACTCATTTACAGCGAGATGTACTTAGAGCATCAAAAGAAAAAGAAAAAACTGGCTCCTGTGAGTTGCATAATGTGGCAGTGTTTTTACTGAATTGTTTTTACTGTTGCACTGATGGAAAAGCATGATTTCACTGCTGTATTTGGCTGAGGCTGGGTAGTTTAATCCATGTACATAAAACTCAGAAAGTAACTACTTACTCCAGCTGTAAAATAAAAGTAGTGAAGTAAAATGCACAATGATAATGCAGTGAAGTATAATGTTAGTAAAAAGGAACAGAAAATAAAAGTAAAAGTACTTTAAAATTGTACATTAATCCAGGAGCTGAGACAACTGTCCTCACTTGCATCCTAATATCTGATGTTTGTGATGTGTGATGTGAACATTAGTGGCCATAATGTGAGCTCAGTCTTCAGCTTCCACCTGCCTGTGAGTTGTTTCTGCATTTCAACTGGATATTCTATATAGCCTGTATTTGCAACAGTGAATGACACATACATTGTTCCTAAATTGAAAGAAAAATCATAATTACAAGCACAACCACATTCAAACAGACATGAGGAAGTGCTGCCTCGCATGAACCACTGTACATTTTTTTTGCTCTCACAGGGAAGTGAAAGCTGTCTTTGGCCACAGACAAAATAACTACTCTTGTTTCTGAGCAGCTGCTTCAGATCGCCGCTCTGTCCCACTCATGAGAACATAAAGCTGCTGTAGGACACTGACAGTGAATCCTCAGCAGGGAGGAGAGTTTAAATATTCAGAGATGGGCTTTGGAGAGGACCTGCGGTGCCCTCAGGCACATACGGCTGTCATGCGGCTGCTGGACTCGGAGCTTCATCTGATGGAGGTCATGAAGAAGTGGATGGGTCAGCGGGCTAAGAGTGAGCGGGAGTTTTCAGTGCAGCTGCACCACATGGCTGCCATGGCAGAGAAGCTGGAACGGCCTCAGCCCGGTACAGGACTGGACTACATCAGCCAGCTCAACCAGGTGAGGTGTTGTAGATCACTCTGTAGCTGAATAATCAACTGATCATTAATGATCATCAGTCAGTCAAATGGAAGAAATCCACTTCATACTTAAATACATGTAACTTCAGTTTAACTTAAACAAGCTGGTGAGCATCAGTGCTTTCCACATAAAGCACAGACAGAATAAAAAATCTGACAGAATAAAGCACTGATATGAGGTCATACTGGGTAAAACGACTTCCCTTATCAGACTTTAGCTGTTTTGCTGTGATGTGTTTCATTTTCAGAGCTTTTAAAACCCTCCATAAAACACCTATATATTCTAAACAACATGGGCTATGGAGTCATTGTGTATATCTGGGTACCAGGGTATTGATAACCCTGAACTAAACCTTTTGTTTCCTGGTTGTCATAGTTTAAAATGATCTAAATCAAAATGTTTATATATGTTCTCAAAGCCTGATAAGACAGCACTAAAGAGCACGAACAGTGAATCTCCACTAGAGCTGCACTGTCCTCTTATTCTGACACTTTAATAAGGAAATAAATGCTTGGAGGATTCAGGATTCAGATTTCATCATCACATCTGCCATACATCAAACTCACAACCACTGAGTTTGTCATGCTGCTGTTGAACTTGTAGATGAAATGCCAAAGTTGTTTTACTTTGCTAACAATCTATCCTCAGTTTGGTTGCATTTGCCCGATGCTGTCTTGAAGTATTTCAGACAATCTAAAATGAGCCATGCAAGAAGCACTATGACTTTGCAACTTAAACAGAAAATGGGGCAAAATGCAGAAGTCACCAGATGTCTAGTAAAGATGGCAAAGATCTGATAAAATTAATTTGAAGAATGGTGACGGACAATTTTGTGCACAGTGGATGTGGACAATATTAATAGGTGCAGGTTGGACCAACAAAATCCTGGTGATGTATTTTATCTCTGCACCTCACAGTTCAGGAGTTAAGAGCAAAAAACGTGAAGTATGTTTATTTTTTTAATGGCCCCAGGTCTGACTTTCATCAGATTTTACTGAAATCTAAAGCAATATGTTGGTAGTTATTGAACCAAAAGACAGATCCAAATAGAGGTTACAACATGGGGAGGACTGTTGTCTTGTGTGAATAACTTTTTCCCCCTGACTTTTGTCTCCTGTCCGTCAGTCGTGGGGAGTGCTGGTCTCTCAGACGGACTTCCTCAGTCAGGTGATGAAGAAGCGCTCTGAGGATCTGCTGGATGGTCCCATCAGCAAACTGACGCTGCTCATCAGAGACAAACAGCAGCTCCGCAAAACCTACGCGGAGCAGTGGAACCTGCTTAGGCAGGAGCTCAGCAAGGTGTGAGACTCCAAACACACAGACACTCAAATACACCACTATTTATAGACGGTCATGCCAAAGCACAGATAAATCACCCTTACACAGTCAGACCTCCGACTGTGATCAAACAGCTCACTGCTGAAAGTGAGCTGTTGATTTAGTAGGTATTGAACTTTGATTATTGTTGCTCTTTTGTCCTTATGGTTGAACATTTTTACCCTCTTTTGTTTTTGTAAACTGACACACACAGACAACACACATACACACAAAGTATATATTCATGAGGGCAGTTTGTAAGTGAACCCACACTGCTTAAATTTTCATTTCACTTTTGTACGTTTCCTTTTTTTGCATTTTAAGCAATAATATACTTGAAAACTACTAGCGATATCTCAGCTGTTGTAAAGCAGTACTTCATTTATTTTGAAACCACTGTGGGGCTTTTGAAATAGCACGATAAGCAGCAGTATATCACGTTCAAGAGTCCAATGTTATGTCAGAGCCAGTGTCATAATTACCACTACCTGCTCCTTTTTCTGGACCCTGTGGTTGTTTACAAGAAGTCACAGTCATGGTGATACAGTATTTACATATGTTGAACGATTCTTATCAGAAAAAAGGCAGATGTCGTTGCTTTAGAGTCTATGTGTTGATTTTTGCGCGAGTCTATCATCTTGACATGCAGTTGAGCATTGCAGTGGAGGCATTATAAATAGACAGCAGTCAAATGAAATGAGGTTCAATAGACTGGAAAGAGTGTGTGCAAATGCATTTTGATGCAATCTCAAACCGTTGGCTGCTCCAACTGTTTTTATTACCCAATTACATCAGGGAAATGATGTGTTCATTTTCACTGATCCATATTGGGTTGCAGCTTGGCCGTCTCCAGCAGACAGTTTGTTTATTTTAATTTTCTTACTTTATTATGCAGATGACGGCTTTGGTTTTGTGCAAGTCATTGTGCGGTAGAATAGATTTTATGACTGAGCAACAATGTCAGAAATGCTATCAGGCGGAGGTCTGAAGTATCAGCACCAGCAGTATAACAAAGGTCGAATCATTTCCTCTTATGTCTTTTCTCATGTTTCGTGTTCCTCTGCAGTTAAACATGAGAAGGCCACTGTCCACTTCCTGTGTGATGTAGTTCTCACACTCAGTTAGGCAGCTTTAAACCACACAAACAGCTCCCCTGAATGACGCCCACCCTTCCACCAAATGTTTTCCATCTGTTTGTGTGTCTGTGTGCTGCTTCAGGTAACCCAGACAGAGCTGGAGAGGCTGAAGAGCAGCTACAGACAGGCGGTGAGAGATGCAGCTCAGGCCAAGAGGAAGTACCAGGAGGCCAGTAAAGGTGGGAATTTTTGGCACCACTTACTTCTCTGAACAGAATCGGTTTTACTCTGAAGGCATGGACTGGCCTTTCTTTGTTTCTGTTTTACTCTGCAAAACCTGATATGTATATTTACACCATGAAATGTTGTGTCATCCCCTTTCTTTCATGTGTGTGTGCAGATAAAGAGCGAGACAAAGCTAAGGAGCGTTATATAAAGGCTTCAGTGAAACTCTACGAGCTGCATAATGAGTACGTGCTGTCTGTGCAAGCTGCTCAAGTTTACCATCAGCACCACTACAGTCAGATCCAGCCTGCCCTGCTCAGTGCACTGCAGACTCTGCAGCAGGAGATGGTGCTCATACTGTAAGATAAAATCTACTACAGTGTGTGTGTGTGTGTGTGTGTGTGTGCGTGCGTGCGTGCGTGCGTGCGTGCGTGCGTGCGTGTGTGAGAATGATGTTGCTTTTCAGTGGTCCTGTTTTACTGTTTTTCTGTTTGCATCCACTCAGCTGATTTCTATTCACACACACACACACACACACACACACACACAAACAGTACATATAAGAGGAATGCTGACCTCAAAAGCACATTTTAATTGGCTATACCACAGTGTATCCATGTTTCCCCTACACAGTGCTGCAGGATTGAGACTTAGTGTAACAAAGAAATGTGTTAGCATTTTTGCACTTGCAGCTTCCTCATCTTACAGTCAATGTTTTTTTTCAATGGATTCTTGGTTAGATTTTCAATGGATTCATGGTTAGAAATAAGTTCTGTGGTTAGACTTAAGATATTTTCACATTTTGTTCTACGACATAAAATACATTAAAATACATCAGTAAATACCCTGCTGGGGAATTTTAAAGATTTAACATGTCTTAAAAAAGACAATTGCTAACAAGTGTCTTAAATTAGACAACAGAATGTCAACATGCGGAACACAGCTTTACAGCCTCTCTGTGATGGTGATGATAAAATCAAGTGACCGCGGTGAAGTTTGTTCATAGCCTAACGTTAGCCTTTTACTTCTGGCGACTGCATTTATGCTTCCTTTGTGAAGACTATTTTACTGAACAAAACATGTATGTTTCATGATATTTTGTTTGCCACAGAGCTTACCTTCTGCAGTAATCCAATTTTTTTTTTCAATAAAATCAGCTTCCAGGTTGGCTTGCAAAAAAATCATCATCCCTGCAGCAGTGTTTTAAAGGTCCAGTGTGTGACATTTAGGGGGATTTAGTGACATCTAGCAGTGAGGATTGCACATTGCAACCAGCTGAAACCTCTCCTGGTTTAAATTCCTTCGCTGTTCATTGTTTTACCAGGAGCTTAATTATCTGCAGAGGTCTCCTCCTCTTGAAAACAAACAAGCCAGGTGATTAAACTAGTAAAAAAAAAAAAAAAAAAAACACTACATAAAACTGTTTCACGTTACAAATCAATATTTCTCCAACACCGTTTGGCATGTCACAGATGGCCCGCCAGCCCAATGCCCTCTAATGTGTGCACACCTTTATTATCTGATAATTTAAGAGCTAGATGTCCTGGAGGTTCTTATCAAGCACTGAAATATCTACAGAGGTCTCCTCCTCTCCAAGACTTACAGATGCGGTGATATAAACCAGAGGAGCTGCTAACTACGGTGGTTGACACAAAAATACAAATGGCCTAACCTAGAGCCACTGTTTTGTTTGTCCACTCTCAGCTACTGTAGAAACATGGCAGTGCAACATGGCGATCTCCATAAAGGAGGACCTGCTCCCTATGTAGATATAAATAGCTCATTCAAATGAAATCATGATGATTCTTATATTCGGTGATTAAACAATAAAAGAAAACTAACCTGTAATATTCCATTTCTGCCAGTATATCCCCCTAAGTCCCACACACTGGACCTTTAAATGAACAGGGAACATTAAGTTGGTTTCAGTTTTTCATCAGTGTCAATATTTGGTCATGCAGTTGAGAAAAGTGACTGTTTTGACACTTCCTCCTAGTTTATGCATTCAGAAAATGTAGATATAAAAAAAGAAAGCCCCAAACTTTGATAATAAAGATGACAAAGGAAAAGCATCATCTGAATGTGTTAGTTTCATGCATTAAATGTTTGACAGTGAGCTGTCAGATCTCAGATGTCACAGCTTGTTTGCTCAAAACAATACAAATAATGTGAATTGGAACATGTTGAAATATTTACTGCAATGGACTGCCTATCTCAGGCAATGTCTCTCAAACTACATTTTCATAGTTCTGATATGAATCGACCTGCAACTAACTTACCTGCATTGTTAAAACAAACCCATAGAATGTCCCCGATAAATGTGAGGTAACAACTTGCACTGAGTTTGTTTGAGTAGATTTCATCTCATGTCTTAAGTAAAGAGTACCTAAAATTCACAGCTATGACACACTAACATTTATTAGGTAAAGAATACCTTAAGAATACCTTTTCAACACATTACACCAGTGTTTCTCAAATGGTGAACTGTGATGCCAGTCAAGTTGTGCTGTGGGATTTTGTGATAACCACACATTAGCCTATTAGTACAATATTCAACTGGACCTACACAAAAAAATAGGAGCACCCATTTCCAAGTAAAGAGGCAAACTCTAGATAAAAAATGTAATTTAATATAATTTAATCTAATGAAAAACCCTCACAGGGAACCTATTTGTCATTGTTTGCGTGTGGGAATTCTAAATGTGTGACACATCAAAAGCCCTGATTGGCAGCCAGTGTGAGGGATGATAACAACTACAAGGAGAAAGCTGTGTGTGGGACAATGAATTGCTTTATTGTATGGAGCAGATCACAACAAAGCACCAGCGAAGACGACCTACCACCAAAAGAAAAGATTAAAAAACAACTGTCAGTAGACAGTAGCACGGAACCTACCTGTCTTGTCTTATATTGTCTTATCTTATGTCATGATGAGAGTGATAGCACACGTTATAGAAGCTATTGTGCACAGATATAAATACAGGTGTACCTTGAGATTTTGGGCACAGAAAAGTTTGAAAACCCCAACTTTACACAACTGATAAGTGAAAATGAGTATTATTAACTCTTGGCCCCAGCCGGCAGTGAATTCAAACCCAGATCCCTTCAGCCGAGCGTCAGTGCTAACCACTATACCACTTTGCCACACAGAGGCTTTACTGATCATGTCATTCTTTCAGTTGACTAATTGACCATGCCTAGCTCAAATAAGTAATTTGTGTCCTCTGAGAAACAGCGACCCAAGAGAGATACTGTATGCATTGAATGCAGCTCAACACTCTCTGGTCCCACGAATGAAACTGACTTTGGCGTTGCTGACACACGTGCATATTGCAGTACAAGGATTACACAATATCTTGGAGTGTATTTTATAAGATTTTGTTATGTTGCAGTTATTAACACAGTAGGTATAATTTACGCATTATCTCTTATTTGACTTGCTGACTTATATACTTAATTGAAATGTAAATGATATGCATGTGTTTATTTACCAGCCCCCACAATCCTTATACAGTGAGGAAATTCTTATGTTGTGCTTTGGAAACATGTTCTGTACTGTATCTGTGGTTTGACTCTGGCTAAAACTCATAAAATTGGTCCTTCAAATCACTAACTTTGTTGTCATGCGACCTCTAACCCAGAAAGGAGATCCTGCAGGAGTATTTCGACATCTCCACTCTCCTCCATCATGAAGTGGTGCGGATCCACAGAGAGATATCCTCTGCTCTGACAGCCATCGATCCTCACAGAGAATATGAAAGCTTCATCCAACAAAACAGGTAGACTGAGGGAAAACTTCCTCTCAAATCAATCAATGCAATCATGAAAGCTAACCCTGCAGAGCAATGACACTGTGTGTTTGTACTTGCAGGTCTGTAGGGGAGACTCCTGCGTGTGCAGAGTTTGATTGCAGCCTTCTGGAGGACAATGTACAGCTAGATCCCAGAGGGATTGAACTGAACGACCTCACGCTTGAGACAGTGCAGCACAAGTGAGAACAAACGACACGATCGTCCAGATGACTAAAGTCTAATTTCCTTTTTTAGTGTCCCAACTACTTCCTCCTCCTCACCCTCCTGGTCCTTTTTTGACCTCCTATTTCCTCTGAGTGCTTTGCATCAATTACTTCCTCCTTTCAGGATATTTCTCCATCTCCTTCTCCCAGACTGACTGCAATAGAGGAGGAGCTGTTAAATCTGGCTCGGACTCTGGGCTCCCAGCAGACCTCTGTGGAACAGCTGGAGTTGGAGCTGGATGCAGAGCGGGAAGGTGTCAAGAAGGGCCAGAGGTGAGCGGACCACAGACACAAGGAGAATCAGTGATGCTGTGATGTTTTATTCAGAGGTCACAGAGGAGGCTTCACAGCAAAAACACACAACCTTTGAGGTAGCAGTCCTCCCCAATGGGAGAGTTCAATGTGCTCTTGGCTGGCCAGCAGCTAATAACCAGTGTGGTCTCATGGGACTCTAAGTGCCTTATGAATTATAATACAGAGATATGATCAGAGCTATGGCACTCTATCCCCTCATTTATCTTGGTTGATGAAGCTGTCTGAGAGTGTTAGAGGTTCACCGTCTTTTGGGAGTGATCGAGTCGAGCTCCTGGAGGACAACTGGAAACAATGTGTTTGTTTGCAAAATGTTGATACCTTAAAATGAGCAGCTGGGGAGCACATATGGTGGTGGTGTTAGTGAGGCAAGTTGAGGTTATGCTGCCCTTTGGTTTGTATTTTGAGAAAACATTTTGTAAACCAGCAGTGACATGCTGTATGAGGTCAAACCCAGTGTGACCTCTCGTAGCTGAGAACCTGCTAGCTTGAGGAAGTTGAAGACTGAGTGTACTCACCTCTGTGGTTCTACTCACATCACTCTGAGATCGTACAGACATGGGCCTGGGCTCAGATATGTAAAGGGTCCTACACCTCTCTGACATAGCTGGTTTTCCATTTCCTTTTTTTGTTTTGTGTCTTTTAGAGTTGTTTGGATCTTCAAGGTTATTTTGTGTGTTATGGAGGTACTACTTGAGGTACTTTGTTGTTTTGTGTCTCTTTGTGGTTCCTTTGCATCACTTTGTGGTTATGTGAGTCTCTTCCTGGCCAGCATGTGTTAATTTGAGTGACATTTTACAAGTTAAGGCCATGGGGCCCCCTTGATACTTTGGGCCCCTGGGCCTGTGCCCAGTTGGCCCTGTCAGTAATCCATCCATGCATATATGTATATATTCACTTTGCTATCATATACTGCAGTGGTTCCCAACTGGTCCAGCCACGGGGTCCAGATTACTCCTCAATCATTAGTTCAAGGTCCACATTCAGCATCACACTTGAGTTTGGCCATGTCATCGAGCTAGTTTGCTGTTTCTGTCAAGTAGCTGTCTGTTAGTCACTCACTCTACAGCAGGAAATGGCACTTCAACATAACAACTCTGTGCTGGAAATTCACTGTACTTAGAAATGGAGTGTGTGTTTTACAAACTTGACATGCTTGCGAGTCACTTGTGGCCCATTCAGAATGGACCTGTGACCCACTTTTGGACTATGACTGACCAGTTGGGAGCCGCTGATATACTGTTTATGTACAAGGACAAACAGTGAATCCTTATATCTGAGAGGCGTTGGCAGGTTTGATTGTAAAATGACTGCAATAAGTAATAATTATAATAGCTGCCAATTAGTTTCCTGTCAATCAATTAATCATTTCAGCTCCAATCAAATGACCCAAAATCAGGGGTGTAAATATAAGACAGTGTGGGCAGTGTGGTTTCACTGGGCTCCAAGGGATGGGGCAGCCCATAGAGAGAGCAAGCCCTCCAACAATGTGTTTGTCAGAGAACAGGCCCTTGCCAATGATTCAAATTGTGACCTTGAAAAATACACCTGTGTTCAAAGAAGAACTCACATTAAGTTAAAAATGCTGTCATTTGCTATATGTACCCTTGAAAAGGCAGACCCATCTCCGTCAGGTATTTCTGATTTACTTATTTATTTGATTATTGTAAAATGGTCAGTAGCAATCTATAAAAAAAAATATGTGTATTATACATAAACTATAAAAACTACAAATAAGCTATTACAAATATTCAATTGAAAGAAGATGTTTTTAATTTCTTGGTGGGTCATGTACAGATATGCAATGATGGTTGCTGGTTAAAATGTATGTTGATGTTTTTCATTGTCAAGTCTCTGTTGGATCAAGTGATGATACAATACATGGAAGCTAGTTAAGGCCCAAAATCTGTCAAGACTGACAAGCTGAGCACATCTTTTAAGCCGAGTGATGGTGTGTGTGTGTGTGTCTGTGTGTGTGTGTGTGTGTGTGTGTGCGCTTCATAACTAGTGACCATGCAGACACTGAAATATGTTATGATGGGCCCCATGCACTGGGGCCCATCATAACTGCTTTACCCTGCTGCCCCAAATCACAGAGCACCTGGCTCAAAATAACATTCTTGCAGTACAGGTATACTTGCTGTTTCTGGGTCTCAGGGCAAATAATGGAGCTGCCGAGTACTATAGTGTGTGCACTGTGCTTAAGGGTAACTTGGAGGTGACGGGGTACAGGCACAATTCACAGAGGGAGGTTGGGGTGTTCAATAGGGGTCCATCAGCAAATTCATGCCCTGGTTAATCAGGTTAATCCAGCCGTGCACTGGCCATTTAAGTTCTGTTAAAAAAGCAGCAAGGATCCATGCAATCAAGCCCCTGCTCGTTTTTTAGAAGCCTCGTTTCACTTCACTAGCAGAACTCTTGGGTCATTTAAAGTTCACTGGTCTGACATGCTGAAAATCCAGGATGGACTAAGCTGTCATTAGAAAAGCCTCCTTATTGACTGTGTTAGTCAATAGGAGGCATCTGCAAACCTATTTGCTCAGACCTCTTATCGATGTCTGTGTGTTCTTGTACTGCCTGTTTGTCTCACCTGTTGTGCAACCATCGATGTTGCTCTCACTGAAAATGTCCCACACAAATATAATTCACCTGGCCTGCTGCTCTCTGCCTTGTCCAGGGTCTACCAGTTCAGCAAGAGACATGCGATGGAGGAGTGCCGGCAGCAGGTTGCTTTGTCCCAGGGTGTGAGAGTGAAGCTGGAGGTTCAGAGGCTTCTTCTGAAGGAGAAACTGGACCAGCTGGGCTCCAAAGAACCTCCCTCTGCTCTGAAGTTGGACCCAGACGCCGTCTCAGATTCGTCCAACTCAAACAATGTATGTTTCTCTCTGCTAGAGTCTCTCCTACCTTTTTCTTTTTCTTTTTTTTTTAAGCTCCGAGAGGATGAGGAGGATGAAGCTTGCTGACTTTGGTGATCCTCTGACTTCCTCTACCACCACTAGCAGGTTGAAGATTTTTTTTCTAGTGACATGTCTCAACAGCTATTGGATGAATTACTAAGATATTTAGCACAGATATTCACACTCCTCAAAGGATTACTGACTTTTCACAGAGCGCCACCATCAGGTTGAAAATTTTCCAGTATTTTGGTTTATGACCAAATACCTACAAAACAGATGACAATCCCATCAACTTCATCTGGAGTTTTTATTTAGTGCTAAATAGCAAAAGTTACTATGCTAACAGGTGAGCATTATAGCTGCTAAACTCCAGCATGTTAGCATTGTTATTGTGAATATGTTACCATGCTAATATCAGCATTAAGCTCAAAGCTGTGCTAAAATAGCCTACGGCCTCACATAGCTGCTAGTGTGGCTGAAGACTTTTAGTCTATCCATCCATCCATTTTCATCTGCTTAACCCAGGGTGGGTTGCAGGGGCAGCAGGCCAAGCAAAGCACCCCAGACGTCCCTCTCCCCAGCAACGCTTTCCAGCTCCTCCTGGGGAACCCCAAGGCATTCCCAGGCCAATTGAGATATGTAATCCCTCCAGTGTGTTCTGGGTCTGCCTCTGGGCCTCCTACCAGTGGGACATGCCCTTAATACCTCTAACGGGAGGCGCCCAGGGGGCATCCTAATCAGATGCCCGAACCACCTCAAGTGAGCGCTTTTGACGCGAAGGAGCAGCAGCTCTACTCCAAACTCCCTCCAATAGTCTGTGCTCCTCACCCTATCTCTAAGGCTCTTTATCCTGTTTGATTTTGTCAAGTTGAGTTCAAAGTCACCAAATTTGGGACTGGGAAATGACTCACATCCAACTCACATGACTTGAGCCCATGCTTTTGTTTTGAACTGCAGCTATTCCTGTAGCAAATATAGACTTTTTAAAATAATAGAAGTAGCTAATGGGACGTCACTCAATGGTTCGTGGACTCCCGATTTGAAGCCTTGCCATCTTGGCCTTTTGGTGTCAGAGATGACCATATTTGTAGGAGAGGATGGAGCTGTGGATGAGCAAGGGGTTGATCTAGCTCATAGACTGTAGTGATGCCTCACAGACAACAGGCCCAGCCCTCAATTATGTGTACTTTTAAGCCTTAAGAAAATATCAAAGGGTGGGATATATAACGTTACCCCCGTACAGTTGTCATGAACAGGGAAAATTTGTTATAGAGACCAAAGCTGTTTTTTGTACCAGGCTGTAAACACATTTATTTCTGCTGTAAAGTTTTAACATGAGGGTCTGTGGGGATTTACTCAGTGTTGGAGCCAGCCTCAAGTGGCCATTCGATGAACTGCATTTTTTGACACTTCTGCATTGGCTTAACTTTCCAGCCTTGGAGGTTGCTGCTTGTAGCAAATCAATGAATAATGACTTAACCCATAGACCTGCATGTTTTCCCTTTTATTGGTAGTAATTATCTTTTTTTTTAAATTTATATGGACCAACATGATTTGCTCTCAATCTTTTCTTTTTTCAGGATCACAGCCCAAATCCTTCCAAACTCCTCATGGACGGGATCAAAAACAATCTGAGTGGCCTGTTTAAACCCAGATGGGAGGTAAGTTAAACACTGAATTACAATCCAGGCACAATAATTACACACAGAATAAAGATAGACAGATTACAAGTGGTTATACAAAATTGTTTGGTGTCAGATTAAACATAGCAGAACAATATCTGTCTCACAGTATGTTGCAGAAGGACATTTTAAAAAGAAGGACACTTGTTCCAGTTGAGAGACACTTCCCCTCCTCGCTCTTCCACCTCCCTGCCCTTAACTTTAACTGCAGCGTCTGTTTTTGTACATTCATAGCTCTTATCACACAGCAAACAATTCATCATGTTTTGGAGACAGTGTAGCCACTGCACGGCTGAGCTAACTCAGGCCCATGATCTTTCTTTGGGGTCTCGTGCTCCTGAAGGCACCGTCGAACTTAATTAGGTCAGCTTTGACAGTCAAGTTACTACTTTGGAAATTCTGCCTGACCTAAAACTAAGTTTACCTCTCAGGCAGCCAGTTTACCTTTCACGGTTTTATCACTGCTCGCAGATGATAGCACAGATGGAGCCATGAACCAGCTGTGCTGCACACAAACCCTCAACAGGAAAAGGCTTTGTGCAGCTGGTTTGTAGTTTTTAATTTGTCAGAAAGATAAAAATCACCGTGTGCATGCTGTAAAAGATCAATTTGAGCAAATATTTCAGTGTCTCTAATGTGCTGGACTTCAAGCTCAAATTATTCTTTAAATGTGAACTACTTCTTGCTCTCCAGCTCCCTGCTCTGTGGTTCCCTGGAGGCATGGAAGGTGGTGCGGTTAGACTTTAAAGTATTACAGACTTTTCTTTGAAGTATCTCCATGTACAGTACAGGCCAAAAGTTTGGACACACCTTCTCATTCAATGCGTTTTCTTTATTTTCATGACTATTTACATTGTAGATTCTCACTGAAGGCATCAAAACTATGAATGAACACATGTGGAGTTATGTACTTAACAAAAAAAGGTGAAATAACTGAAAACATGTTTTATATTCTAGTTTCTTCAAAATAGCCACCCTTTGCTCTGATTACTGCTTTGCACACTCTTGGCATTCTCTCCATGAGCTTCAAGAGGTAGTCACCTGAAATGGTTTTCCAACAGTCTTGAAGGAGTTCCCAGAGGTGTTTAGCACTTGTTGGCCCCTTTGCCTTCACTCTGCGGTCCAGCTCACCCCAAACCATCTTTATTGGGTTCAGGTCCGGTGACTGTGGAGGCCAGGTCATCTGCCGCAGCACTCCATCACTGTCCTTCTTGGTCAAATAGCCCTTACACAGCCTGGAGGTGTGTTTGGGGTCATTGTCCTGTTGAAAAATAAATGATCGTCCAACTAAATGCAAACCTGATGGGATGGCATGTCGCTGCAGGATGCTGTGGTAGCCATGCTGGTTCAGTGTGCCTTCAATTTTGAATAAATCCCCAACAGTGTCACCAGCAAAACACCCCCACACCATCACACCTCCTCCTCCATGCTTCACAGTGGGAACCAGGCATGTGGAATCCATCCGTTCACCTTTTCTGCGTCTCACAAAGACACGGCGGTTGGAACCAAAGATCTCAAATTTGGACTCATCAGACCAAAGCACAGATTTCCACTGGTCTAATGTCCATTCCTTGTGTTTCTTGGCCCAAACAAATCTCTTCTGCTTGTTGCCTCTCCTTAGCAGTGGTTTCCTAGCAGCTATTTGACCATGAAGGCCTGATTGGCGCAGTCTCCTCTTAACAGTTGTTCTAGAGATGGGTCTGCTGCTAGAACTCTGTGTGGCATTCATCTGGTCTCTGATCTGATCTGCTGTTAACTTGCCATTTCTGAGGCTGGTGACTCGGATGAACTTATCCTCAGAAGCAGAGGTGACTCTTGGTCTTCCTTTCCTGGGTCGGTCCTCATGTGTGCCAGTTTCGTTGTAGCGCTTGATGGTTTTTGCGACTCCACTTGGGGACACATTTAAAGTTTTTGCAATTTTCCGGACTGACTGACCTTCATTTCTTAAAGTAATGATGGCCACTTGTTTTTCTTTAGTTAGCTGATTGGTTCTTGCCATAATATGAATTTTAACAGTTGTCCAATAGGGCTGTCGGCTGTGTATTAACCTGACTTCTGCACAACACAACTGATGGTCCCAACCCCATTGATAAAGCAAGAAATTCCACTAATTAACCCTGATAAGGCACACCTGTGAAGTGGAAACCATTTCAGGTGACTACCTCTTGAAGCTCATGGAGAGAATGCCAAGAGTGTGCAAAGCAGTAATCAGAGCAAAGGGTGGCTATTTTGAAGAAACTAGAATATAAAACATGTTTTCAGTTATTTCACCTTTTTTTGTTAAGTACATAACTCCACATGTGTTCATTCATAGTTTTGATGCCTTCAGTGAGAATCTACAATGTAAATAGTCATGAAAATAAAGAAAACGCATTGAATGAGAAGGTGTGTCCAAACTTTTGGCCTGTACTGTATTCTCTGCAGAATCACCCTAAAATCCATCCTCCATCACTTCTTATTGGATATGCCATTCTTATTCATTCCTATTCATTATTCATGTCAGCTTTAAAGGGTCTGCTTTTCTCTCTTCCTGCCTTCAGGTGCTTCCGGCTCTCACCCCAGTGCTGGACGTGGATCGTCCTCTGGGACAGCAGGGCTGGTACCACGGAGCAATTCCCAGACCGGAGGTCCAGCAGCTGCTGAAGAATGACGGAGACTTCTTGGTGAGGAAGAGTCAAGAGAAACACGGTTATGTGCTCTCTGTGCAGTGGGAAGGATCCTGCAAGCATTTCCTTATTCAGAGCATGGATGTAAGTAAAGAACAAAACACTTTTTTAGAGAGTTGAGGGGCATTTTATATTATATGTAGATCCTCTGTGTGTGGTTTAAATCATGTGTTTTGAATATGTATGCTAGTTTTAAATGATCAAGATACTGCTAAAAAAATTAGATGTACAGTACTGCTCTCCTCCCAGCTCTATTTTTTCAATTAAACACAAGAAAAACTTACACAACTACAACTCATTTAAACAATCTAACAATTTAAAAGGCTATTTTCATGTATAGGTTTTTTCATTGTGTCTTTTTCCTCTGTCAGTATGTTTGCACAGCAGTTAACTTCTGTAAATGCTTTTCCATCTGTGTCAGTAGAATCTGTATCGTCTGGATGGAGAAAGCTTCAGCAGTATCCCGCAGCTGATCCATCATCTGCTGTCCTCACGACAACACGTCACCAAGAGGTCTGACATAGTGCTGAAGAAACCTATACTGAAGGTACTGCTGTAACACATAGTCTGCTGCAACCTGATTTCACTGAAATATCTGAAATGACCACGACCTCTAAACATAACATTACTAGGTGTTGGCACTGAACGGTTGCAGTTTCCTTTAGGCACCAAAACTACTTGGTTAGGTTTAGAAAGATATAGTGGTTTACCTTAAAGGTCCAGTGTGTAAGATTTGGGGCAGGGCTATTCATGTGCTTGTGTAAACCGCGATTGTAAACCATAATAGCGGTGACTGAGAGACCGTGGACTGGGCAAACTGAAATAGCGCTTTCTACATGCTGAACACATGTATTAATAAAGCACTGGCTTTTACTTCTCCAATGTTGCAGATGGGCTTCTAAGTACGATGGCCGACACAAAAATGCAAAAATGTAAATGGGCTTATCTAGAGCAAGTGTTTGATTTGTCCATTCTGGGCTACTGTAACATGGAGATGCAAGTTTCTGTATGTGACAGTCATATTCACTAATATAATGAGTTAGTACCATTAGCTGCTAGCTGCCAGCTCAGCCACCTCTATGTCAACAACAGTGTACAGACTATCCTGCCCCAGACTCTGAGTCATAGATATGCTCTGAATGTTGCATACAGCTCCTTTAAATAAACAGGTGCTAAAACAAAGCGTCTCACAGAGAGCTCAAATACAGGTGCTCCAGCACTGACAGTATGAGAAAAATAAAGTATGTAAACATGTTCCAAAAGAGACCCCAAGTATGAACCCAAAAATGGCAACAAATGGCAGATGAGCACAAAAGGTCCCCTTTAACTGAAGTGCTTCCACTGTTGTCTCAAATGAGCACACATGCAAATGTGATGATCTTTCCTTCAAATTTTATTCCTCTTTCTTGTCTCTCCTCTTTTGCTGGTCTCACAGTTAACAGAACCACTATGCGTCTCTTATTGTTCATTTTTAACCCCATTAGGACAAGTGGGTCCTGGAACATGATGATATTATCTTGGGACCCCTCATTGGACGGGTGAGTAAACTGAATATCTGTTGACAGAAATTTAGAAGAGAAGTGAGAGAAGCAAAACCAATTTTTAAAATGATTTCTTTTTTTATCATGCCCATTACAGTAAAAACTGAGCCATAGTGTGCCCATGTGTTTGTCTCGCTCTGAGTCTCAGATACCTCAAAATGTTGAGAACATATTTGTGTAAAACTCAGTGTGAAGTTTGGTTGAAGAGCAAGAAAGACCTGGTTAGTGAGTCACAATTCTTTTTTTTGGCCTGTCAGATGACATACTGAACAAAAATATAAACGCAACATTTTTGTTTTTGCTCCCACCTCACAGGTGTGGCATATCAAGATGCTGATTAGACAGCATGAATATTGCACAGGTGTGCCTTAGGCTGGCCACAATAAAAGGCCACTCTGAAATGTTCAGTTTTATCACACAGCACAATGCCACAGATGTCGCAAGTTTTGAGGGAGCGTGCAATTGGCATGCTGACTGCAGGAATGTCCACCAGAGCTGTTGCCCGTGAATTGAATGTTCATTTCTCTACCATAAGCAGTCTCCAAAGGCGTTTCAGACAATTTGGCAGTACATCCAACCGGCCTCACAACCGCAGACCACGTGTAACCACACCAGCCCAGGACCTCCACATCCAGCATGTTCACCTCCAAGATCGTCTGAGACCAGCCACCCGGACAGCTGCTGCAACAACTGTTTGCATAACCAAAGAATTTCTGCACAAACTGTCAGAAACCGTCTTGAGTGGGCAAATGCTCACATTCGATGGCGTTTGGCACGTTGGAGAGGTGTTCTCTTCACGGATGAATCCCTGTTTTCACTGTTCAGGGCAGATGGCAGACAGCGTGTGTGGCATCATGTGGGTGAGCGGTTTGCTGATGTCAACATTGTGGATCGAGTGGCCCATAGTGGCGGTGGGGTTATGGCATGGGCAGGCGTATGTTATGGACAACGAACACAGGTGCATTTTATTGATGGCATTTTGAATGCACAGAGATACCGTGACGAGATCCTGAGGCCCATTGTTGTGCCATTCATCCACGACCATCACCTCATGTTGCAGCATGATAATGCACGGCCCCATGTTGCAAGGATCTGTATACAATTCCTGGAAGCTGAAAACATCCCAGTTCTTGCATGGCCAGCATACTCACCGGACATGTCACCCATTGAGCATGTTTGGGATGCTCTGGATCGGCATATACGACAGCGTGTTCCAGTTACTGCCAATATCCAGCAACTTCGCACAGCCATTGAAGAGGAGTGGACCAACATTCCACAGGCCACAATCAACAACCTGATCAACTCTATGCGAAGGAGATGTGTTGCACTACGTGAGGCAAATGGTGGTCACACCAGATACTGACTGGTTTTCTGACCCCCCCAGACCCCCCCAGTAAAGCAAAACTGAACATTTTAGAGTGGCCTTTTACTGTGGCCAGCCTAAGGCACACCTGTGCAATAATCATGCTGCCTAATCAGCATCTTGATATGCCACACCTGTGAGGCGGGATGGATTATCTCGGCAAAGGAGAAGTGCTCACTAACACAGATTTAGACAGATTTGTGAACAATATTTGAGGGAAATGGTCTTTTGTGTTTATAGAAAATGTTTTAGATCTTTGAGTTCAGCTCATGAAAAATTGGAGCAAAAACAAAAGTGTTGCGTTTATATTTTTGTTTAGTGTAGCTAGCCAGTCCACAAGAGTGCTCTGGAGACCTTGTTGCCACTTTAAAGGACAGATTCACATTTGTCTGACTTGCATGAACACAAGTACATGTAAGAGTTTTATTGTTCATTGTGATGTTTCTCCTCTCTGGTTGCAAAGAGATTCTGTCTCTAAGAGATTTCTTAAAACTAATATGAGGCTTCATCAGTGTAAATTTGTCCAAAGTTCCAGTACTTTTAGAACAAACTTAGCACTTTGCATTACTTTCCCTCTGCTGTGGCCCAGCAAGCAAACACTGTCCTTGGAAATACAAGTGACAGTAACTGTGGAAGATATCCACTTGGTCTGTGAAACCCAGACTGCTGAAGTCTCACATTAGCTGCAGAAACTATGAAAGTAATTTTTCCACCAGAGCAGGACTGTAGATGTAGTCCCCCATCACACACATTGAAATCACTTTAAGAAAGGCTGTCTTCATAACCAGTATTCACAGGAGGAACAGTTACGGCAATGAATAGCCCTGTCTTTTAACCTGTCCTTCAGATTTAACTTACCTGCCAATTTTAACATAGTTTCCATAGTTTGAAACAAGCAATATTATATCAATGTCATCATATGAGACTAGGTATTGTCTTAGATTTGGGATATAATATACAATAATATATAATATAATTGTCTTTCCCTGATTTTAAAGGCTACATTACAGTAAAGTGATGAACTTTCTGAACTTACTCGACTGTCCCAGCTGTTCTGTTTTTTTTTACTTTACCCACCCCGTCTTTATATCCACATTACTAATGATTATTGATATGATAATATCAGATCATTGTGTAAATATTTTGTGTAAGCACCCATGGTCTATACTACAATATTGTTGAAAGATCGATATCGAGGTATTTGGTCAAATATATTATGATATTTGATTTTCTCCATATTGACCAACCCTTGTTTAAAATTGTGCACATGTGGTTACAGTTCATCAAGGAAAATCGCTCATATCGCACCTTATTGTCAGCTAACTGTTATCTAGTTTATATTTAGTTTATATCTGCTATACATTTTTCAACTTTGTTTTTTCAGTCATTGTATACTGCATGCTCTGTATCTGCACTCCTCTAACTTTGTACTGCAACTGCTGCACAAGTTTCCCTCATAAATAAAGTTATATCTTATCTATCTTATCTTATCTCATCTTAGTAGATACATCAAGTCCCCTGTTGAGTTAGAAAATACACTTAAAAAAACCCAACAGTAACACATTATGTTGGTGTTCGCACTACACAGGGCAACTTTGGAGAAGTGTACAGCGGCCGTTTACGCTCTGATAGCACTCCTGTAGCAGTGAAGTCCTGTAAAGAGAACCTGGCCCCAGAGCACAAGAGTAAGTTCCTGATGGAAGCCAGGTCAGTATGTACACAAACACACACAGACACAGACACATGCATATATACACGTACACACACACACTTCCTCTCCTGTGCTGTCCAGGATCCTGAAGCAGTACGACCATCCTAACATTGTGAAGCTGATAGGAGTGTGCACTCAGAAGCAGCCGATCTACATCATCATGGAGCTTGTTCAAGGTAAACATGATCCTAGACTTTACCTTACCTTACCTTACCTTACCTTACCTTTACAACCCTCAGTGTGTTTACCCAAGAACTTCAAGATTTATGCTACCATTATTGCTTTCCTTTGTTCCTACATCATCATTCTCTCCCTCTCTCTCTCTCTCTCTCTCTCTCTCTCTATATATATATATATATATATATATATATATGTGTGTGTGTGTGTGTGTGTTTCATAAGGTGGTGATTTTCTCACCTTCTTACGGCATGAGAGTCACAATCTGAGGCCAAAGATGTTGGTCAAAATGACAGAAAATGTAGCAGCGGGTATGGAGTTCCTGGAGAGCAAGAAGTGTATCCACAGGTTGGTCAAACAGTTAATTTATATTTGCACAGTGTGATAAGATTTAATACATTTTATACAAAGGTAATATTTGTATAGGTCTTATCATTACATCAGGAGCAGGTAAGATTGTGACTTTGTCTAATTTGTCTGAGGCTCTTGTGTCAAGGAGTTAAACATTTATAGTGAATGGTAATGCAGTTAGATTCAGTGCCTGTCGATGAGAGAGCTCTCAAAGAGTCAGAGCAGCAACAAGGGTCCCCACTTCACAAAATGAATCCATGTGAATGCTCCACATAATCTTCAATTTTGTTGATTTAACAAGCTGTTGTCTGATGGTAAGCCCTCTTAACACTGCTGACCTCTGAAGGACATACAGCTGCGGAGACCAAAAAATGGAGGAAGCTATTGTAGCTTATTGCCCCATTTAGTTTTATTTAACCTCCGCTGTCAGAATAATAACTGTCCTACAAAAGAGCAGTGGTCTGCAGACAGTTATGAGACAGGAAGTGATGGTGCAGATACATATTTTGAGTAAAATGTGTGAATTTATTGTCCCGTTAGTGTTGGGTTATCAAATTTTCAAACCCCCAAACCAGGACTCTTAAGTGGACCTTGCATTCACATGCATCCATTTATGTGGATGGGTGTTTCATCAGGATGGGGGACTGCTATTTCGACACTTAGCACACTGAGCGAATATTTCAACACCATGACCCAGTGTTTTCGCAAATGTTGTGCTGTGATGCCAATCCAGGTGTGATGTGGAATTTTGTGATAACCACACATTATTACTGCAATATTCAACTGGACCTATACAAAAAGTTATGACTGAATTTATAATTGACTGTATCAGTACGTTGTGTGCACCCATATCCTAATAAAGAGGCAAACTCTTTTTGTTGGCATTTGTGTGTGGGAATTCTAAGTGTGTGACACATCAAAAGCCCTGATTGGCAGCCAATGTGAGGGATGATAACAATTAACAGGAGAAAGCTTTGAGTGGGACAATTGATTGCTTTATTGTACGGTGCAGATTACAACAAAGCACCAGTGAGGACGACCTACTGCCTAGATCTCAAAAACTAGTGTTATTTTTTTCTTGTTTTTATTGTCTTATGTCATGATAAGAGTGATAAGACATTATAGAAGCTGTTGTGCAAAGATATAAATACACGTGTGCCTTTAGATTTTGGCTTGCCCTCTGATTGCCTTGGGCACAAAAAGTTTGATAACTACTGCCATAGCCAGTGCCTCAGCAGTAGAAACATTAGGTTTGGTCTCCCATTTTTGTACCAGACTGTAAACATGTTTATGGGAGTCCATGAGGATTGCCTCACTGCTGGAGCCAGCCTCAAGTGGCCATTAGAGGAACTACGGTTTTTGGCACTTTGCCTTGGCTTCACTTTTCAGCCCTGGAGGGTGCCACTTGATTCAGACGAGTAGTGCATTACTGTTTTTGAGTCAGGTAATGACTAGTAAGACAAAGTATGACAAACATCTAACTGAATGTTGAAAAGAATAACTGGGACAATTTTGTGTTTCACAGATATTTGTTGGGACTCAGGGACAGGTTTATATGGAGGGCTTTCAGCCTGAAAGGGATTTCTTGGTTAAGGTTAGGAAAACAATCATGCTTTAGGTTCAGATGAAAAGATTTCTGCCAGAAAGGGGTTTCTGCAGAACTTTAGCAAGGTTATTCACTTGGAGAGCTTTATTTTCCCTCTTCAGTGATTTTGTATTGAATGAAATGATGTTTAATGGTGAACAAAATGACAGTGGTATAAAAACAGAACAGCAGCCTTGAACACACAGAGAGAGATTTTGACTGACTATAGCAACTTCAGTGCTCCGCCTGAGCTGATGCTCCATATTGAAAACGTATTTTCAGATACAGATACACAATCTAAGACATAACAAAGATATAAATAATAAAACAAACATAACACAAGAAAGCATTGTTAGAGCAGAGGACAGTGTAGGCTGCTTTATGTCTAGGTTTCTCAAGACTGAGTGTGTTATCTAAAGTCACCATGAATTTAACACACAGAAAACGTGATGCACAGCAGAGCATGTGTGTGAGACAAATGAGGGGTCCAGTGAAATTAATTAGTTGAATATTAAAACATGTTCATTTTGCATAAAGTGAGAGTTTCCATGAGACCAATTGTGGAACAAGCCACAGGCAGATGGATCTGAAAACCTTTATGGTGCACAGGCGTAATAAAGGACATAATTTACCTTCCTAACATTTACATCACTTAACTGTAAACCAAACTGCACTTTCCTCGCAGCAGCACTTCCCCATATGTTGATGCAGCTCTCAACAGTCGATTAAAAGTGAAGGATAAAGTTTTCTTAAATAACTGATAGCTGTTGTGTCCTTGAAGAGGAAGCTTAAATGCACTGCTGGCTGACCTACATTTTTTTTTACTTGAATTAGAAAGACAGCAGAACCATTAATTTAACAGTGCATTATAGTGCATTCATTTGGCAGACACATTCATCCGCAGCAACTTACAATAAGTGCATTCAAACTCAAAGAACCTAAATGTCATTAAAGAAGCTGGAGATTTTCCAAATAAACATCTAAAAGTGTGCTAAAGTGCTGTTTGGTAAATCGTTGTTGTTTTTCATAAGAAATTAGACATAAGTAAATGCCAACATGTTGTGGAAGATGACTGATGTCCTGCTGTCCAGTTGGAGTTTAGTCCACAGGAAAGGGCCTTGACTGTACTGGTAATATAGGGATTTGCGTAACTGATGAACTGCAACTACAGCTAAACAGTGTGTAAGGTTAAGGAATCATGCAGTGAATTATCTGCAGAGGTTTCTTCGTCTCCAAAACATACAGACTAGATGAGTAAAACCGGTAAAAACACTGAAAAAAGCAGTTTCACATTAGAAGTCAGTGTTTTTCAGACACTGTTTAGTATGTCACAGACAGGCCGTAGCCCAGCACCTGTTAATGCTCACTTATTTTCTCTGATAACTTAATGTGTGCTCTCCGCATTTCCGATCCCGATGTTCAAAAGTTTTTTTTTTATCAGGAGCCGACTTATCCACAGAGGTCTCTTCCTCTCCAAAACAAACAGCCCAGGTGATTTAAACCGGTAAAATAAATAAATAAATAAATAAAAAAATCTTTGTTTTCCCAAGTCTTTCCTTGCAAGGGGCTGCTAACTACGATGGCCAATGGGCTACTGTAGAAACATGGTGATGCAACGTGGCAGACAAGGTAGACAAGGACCAGCTCCTTGTGTAGATATAAATGGCTCATTCTAGGTTAATGAAAACATAACAATTATTATTTTCAGGTGATTATACACTAAAGAAAACATACTTATTATACCCCCCCTAAATCCTACATATCTGACCTTTAAACACGTACCTTCTTTTCTCTGATAGCTTGGAATAGGAATAGCTACCAGGAAGTGAATTATCTGCAAAAGTCTCCCCCTCTTTAAAACAAATGGACCAGGTGATTTAAACCAGTAAAAACACTGGATGAAGCCATTTAACATTAGAAAAAAATCAATGTGCAGAAGGGCTGCTAACTACAGAGGCTGATACAAAATCTGAATAGAGCCAGTGTTTGGTTTATCCATTCTGAACCTCTGTAGAAACATGGTGTTACAGCATGGCAATCTCTGTAGACCAGACCCGCTCCCTGTGTAGACATAAACGGCTCATTCTAGGGTAACAGAAGCATAACAATTCTTATTTTCAGGTGATTATACACTAAAGAAAACAACAATTTATACTATATTCCATTTCTGCCAATATATACCCCTAAATCCTACATATTTGACATATCTTTATCAAGATTATCTGTTCATTAATTGCTGATTTCTCTTTAAAATAAACCTTTATTTGTTATTGCAGCTCAAATGCATAAAACTGTGCTTTACATAAGGTTGTATTAAAAACACATTTTAATACTTAAGCAAATGAAGTTTGCAAACAAACACTTTAAAATACAAAAAAACAGAGTAGAGAGTAAAAACTGTTTTTCTGGATATTTTAATGGACACAGGTCCACAAAAGGCTGCCTGTCTGGTATCGAAGGAGAGACAGTCAACCTAATATGGAGGTGCTAAACTATTTAGAGCCTCATACAGGCTTGTACACTGGTAATACGATTTTAGAATCAGCTGTAAAAGAGACAGGGAGGAAATGCAAGGACGCTGAAACGGCTGATATTTTCTTTTTGAACATTTTGTACTAAGCCAAGAGGAGAACTGACTCGAACCCTCTAAAGACTGTGGATCTCAAAGTGAGCAGGAACTGATTATAAAGATTAAACATTGGGTTTTATACATAATCTACAAATATAAATAAATCTTGCTTTCCAGGCATTTATTAAAAGAAGAGTGAGGAAAAGCTGAGATCAAGAGTGTGTTGTGAACATGTTTGAAATGATGCAACCTAATATGGAACTATAGGGTTTAAGGGGATCAGTTGTTGAGTGGGAGTGATTGTGGTGCTTTGGGTAAGGGATCAGTGGAGGCTGACGGCGCTCCGGAGAAGACATGAGGTTGTGACACCCAGCTCATTACAGGAGCACTGTGTGATTTGCCCAGCGGGGACAGATCAGAGCAGGCAGCTGGTAGCTGCTCAGCCTGTAACGCTGCATGTCAAACTATCTCACATGTAACACCAGAGACATGACAAGAACGCCTGTTCTCTTACTCTTTTTAGTCCCCTCTTCTCTTGCTGTATCTCTTTTTTTTTTTTTTTTTTAAATATAACGCATGATGCTTTTGTGTCTCTTTTGTATCCATTGCTCATCAGCCCGTGCATTAATCCCTCTTACATCTTCCTCTCCCTGTCTTTTTGTCTTTTTCTAAGGGACCTGGCAGCGAGGAACTGTCTTGTTGCAGAGCACAACGTGGTGAAGATCAGTGACTTTGGGATGTCCCGTCAGCAAGATGACGGTGTCTACTCTGCAGAGGGTGGCCTCAGACAGATTCCTGTCAAATGGACGGCTCCTGAGGCCCTGAACTATGGTACACCGCAACTGTTTCTGCCCTGCAGTCACAACCACAGACACTCCTCTTGTTTCTCTCTGCCAGTAGTCAATTAAAAACTGACAGACCTGTGCCTGTGCCTTTGCTAATGCTGCCCCCTGCTGGTGTGTTTAGGCCGTTATACCATGGAGAGTGATGTCTGGAGCTTTGGTGTCTTGCTGTGGGAGACCTTCTCCATGGGGATGACGCCCTACACGAGCATGACCAACCAACAAACACGCGACGAGGTGGAGAAAGGTAAAGACTCATCTGGCAAGATAAGCCAACAGTCAGTGGGCCTCATTCACACACAGTGCGTACACACCAGTCTGGGGTTCATCCATAGTTTTTCACCTGAATTTGTTCATACTCTGCAAATTTAGATCAGCCTCAGACTATGTGTAGTGTTAGGGGGTTAGGGTTTAACCTAATAATGAGGGCCAGGCATATTAAATTCACATTTTTAAAAAGGCTTCAATAGACAACAACAATATTTAAAAGATTATGATCTCTAACTCCAAGCAGGTGTTAAGATGACATCATATCTAGCCTGGCTGGAAGTCATTGCAGCCCTTGCCTCCAGGGCAGAGTTCCCCTTCAGAGACCAGCAGAACATGTATCAAGAGAGAGATGAATGGCTTATTGTCTGCGTACCACTGCCAAGACATTCACTAATACAGCTCTGAAAAACAATTAAGAGACCATTCCAGTTTTTTCCTTAATTAGCATCTCATTACATAAGGTAGCCATTCCATTACATTTCAGCACAAGCACGCCTCATTCTACTTGATGAGGTAGCTACTGATTAGGTGATCACCTGAACCAAATCTTATTTAACGAGGTAAAATATAAAAACCACAGCTGTGGTCATCACTATCCTCTTGGAATAGGATCAGCTGGATAGTAAAAACAGTGCTCATGGTAACTCAAATAATAACTACTGACCATGACAAAAGAGTTGAAAAGAAAAGTTTTGAAAAGAGTGGTTCATTTCTGGCTTTGCTGGCAGAGGGATACAGTGAGCATCAGGTTGCTTGCATCCTTAGAATTTCAAAGATTGCGGTTCATAAGAACAAGGTCAAGCAGCAGACATTGGGGGCAACAAAGCTACAGACTGGCAGAGGGCGAAAACGACTCTCCACTGACTGAGATGACAGCCAATTCGAATGTCACTCAACAACCATAGGATGACATCAAGTGACCTACCAAAAGAATGGCAGACATCAGCTGGGGTGAAGTGCACGATGAGGACAGTTCAAAACAGGCTCCTAGAGGCAGGACTAAAGTCTGGCAAAGTGAGAGAAAAGCCGTCTATATGTTAGCCTTGTGATAGTCTGGTGACCTGTCCAGGGTGTACCCTGCCTCTCACCCAATGTCAGCTGGGTTAGACTCCAGCTGATCTCAGTACCTGTTTTGATGGTCTGTGATGTCTTTCAGGATACCGTATGCCTGCTCCACACGGCTGCCCCGTGGAAATCTCCAGGATTATGAACAGCTGCTGGCAGTACGAGCCCAGAAATAGACCGTCCTTTAAGAAACTGCGCGCTGACCTTAGTGCCATATACAACAAAATTACATAATACAAGCCTGTTGACTGGGGTTTTTATTATTTGTCTGTTTGTTTTGTAATTTCTGTCCTTCAGAAAATATGTTAGTCATTATGAATACTGGAACATATCTCCAAAGTGAGAACAAACTATCATTTGACCCTTTTATGTTGTGGAAATAAACCTGGAGTTTTGTAAATATCATTGGGCCAGCTGATGGCAGCATTCCTGTTTCTTTCTATCTTGCCTTGTGTGTTTGTCATTCCTCCTCCTTCTGAGAACAGATGGTTGTCTTAGATACATCCGTCTTCTTTCTGACAGCACAGATGTGTAATACTATACCCACAACAAACAGTTCTATACATGAATATATCATAACTGGTTCCACTCAGAGAAAGCACAGAGAATGTTCCCACACCCTCCCGAGGCTGCCAACTACAACTCTTGGACAATAAGGTGTCAATTACTGGCAATGGTTATAGTTTTATTTATTTTATTACATAGCACATGTCATTACACAAAACTTTAAGTGCTCTACATTGAGTCCTGGAGTACTCTGTTTAAATTTTTTGTGTATGTGACAGTACGCTGGCAGCTCCTGTTTTGAATGCCGCCCAACTGATTTTTTGAATTTTGGATTGGATCCTGCTAATGGAGCGTAACAATAGTCTAAGCTGTTGAAGATGAACACATTAACCTGTGTCTCTAGTCTGAGATATGATTGTTCTAGGTTTTTACATATTTTTTAAGTGACAGAGAGCTGTTCTTCTTATATTGGTAATGTGATTTTCAAAATTGAAACCGTGTCCAACGTAATACCAAGGTTTCAGACTTGCTCACTGTATGTCAGAGACATTGATTTCCACTGTGAATACATTTTCTGCCTCTGACTTTTTTCAACCAACTATGGGTATCTCACTCTTCTCTGTACTGAATTGTAAAAAGTTGGACATCCAGCAATTAATATCATCGATACAGTTTATTACTTTAGGAGGATGATCTCAGCACAGCCTTATCAGCTGTTTGTGTTGTGTGTTTGGTTTTCAGGATCCAACTGCAGGCCTCCCTCTCTGGGATCTTCCTGTAAGTCACCAGGAAGCATTTAGGTGTAACATCACTACCTTTGATTATACATAACTATTTAAAATAAAATGGCAGGCATATTTGAGCTGCATTTTTTACTCTTTTTGCACAGGATGTTAAAGGAACAGTATTAGGGGAATTAAGTTACATCAAGCCATGAGCACTGTAGATGGCAACTAGCTGAAACGTCTTCTGGTTGGGATCCTTCAGCGTTCAGGAGAATTTTAGCAGGAGCCAAATTATCCACAGAGGTCTCTTCCTCTTCAAAACAAACAGACCAGGTGATTAAAACTGGTAAAAACACTGATTAAAGCAGTTTAATCTTACAAATCAATGTTTCTCCTTTGCTGTTTGACAGGCTGCTAGCCCCGCACCTGATTTCATTCAAATAAACACAAGAAGTTTGTGCTCTAATTAAAAAAAAAAAAAAAAGGGATCAGCGCTCAGTGAATAATCCTCCTAAGCCCTACGATAAGCTATTATGGCAAGGCTTAACTATACAGACCCATGAGCAGTGATAACTAACATGTCTTTGGGGTCATCGGGTGGGAACCTCCTTTCACCGGTGTTTCGTCTAGTTAGTCCCACGACACCTCCAGGAGGCTAGACAGTGATCTCTGGCGTCCCAGAGACACTCCCCTAATGCCAGGTCTCACTGCTCCCCACACTAAC